CTGCCTATTCTCAGCTCTTCTCTTAATTTGAAAATAACTGTCATTCTGTTTCATTTGATCAGATGAAGAAAAACGCGCTTTTCCTTACTCTTTGTGCTTTTCCCAGAAAGCGTTTTTAGTAGGCCTATGTATAAATTATGCAAAACCCAGGCCTAACTAAAAAATTAAAATTGTCACGTTCGACGTTCTCTCAGACGTTGTTCTGTAGATGTTTATCTGTTGATGACCTTTTGACCTCCTGAATTCTGCAATGAGATTTTCGGGTCGATTCAGCCGAGACGGCCCGAGTAAAGTTTCATGTAAATGTTTCGTACGGAAAAAAAAATCGCAACCTGTGAGAGCCCTAAATTCAAAATGGCCGCCTTCCGCCATTTTGAAATTTATTATTTCAGTGTTTTGGCCTACATGGCTGCTTTAGTGCATGGATTTAGGGGTTTCAGGGGCCCAGGATTTCATTTTTGATGTCGGATTGAAGATTTGACCTGGTTTTGACCTTTAAATCCAAGATGGCCGCCAATTTTTTTGTCAAAAACCGCTTTTTTTTGTAAATTCGTCATAGTGCCTTATAAAAGGATTGCATGAAAGCTCTGATCATGCTGAATTGACTGATGGACAATAAAGCTACAATTAATTATACAGAAGTCATCTCAGAGGTCAAAGGTCAACAGTTGGGGTTAATAAAAAATGAAGCTTTTAGTTCGCTTATAAAATTCCAGTGTATTGTACTGTTAATATCCAGAAATTCATATTTGATTTCCAAATTATTTAGGTTTCACTTTCAAATCTAAAAATGGTGCTGAGGTCACTTTGGAGGTCAGAGGTCAATGTTTGTGGTTAAAGGTCAATTGTAGTTCCATTTTATAAAATTTCAGTGTTCTGTGCTGTTAACATTCAATAATTCATACTTCATGTCCTGTACATTTAGGTTTGACCTTCAAATTAAATGCTGCTGTGGTCATCGCAGGTGGCGAAAGGTCAGCATTTGTAGGTAACAGAAAATGAAGCTTTTAGCTAGTTACTGTACATTGTTTAGATTTGACCTTCAAATCCATACTGCTGATTTTCATCTCACAAGTGTCAAATTTTCAAATTTTATGCAAGTAAAAACTACACTAAGTGCATCTCAGAAGGTAACAGGTTACAAACCTTGGCTCTCAATGGTCAAAAAGTCTCATTTTACAATGTGTGACTTTGACTTTGTTCTTTAACACCGACTTTTACCCTCAGTTTCACGTACAGTAAATGCTCCCTCGCTTCAGAGAGCATCACATCAGTAGATTACCTAGACGTTGATGCGTCCAACTTGGATTGGAACATAAGCGTTGGATACACGTCTGTTTAGTACAACTTCTTCATTGTATCTCTATTATCAATTGGCATAGGCTGAGAGCAGCATTGTATCTGACTCTGAATCTATAATCTCTGCTTGCCACACCAGTGCTCAGGTTCTCACCCTCACAGAAAACGATGTGCACATATCAAACTTGTGTTTTTAACCAATTTTAATCCCTCAAGCTTCTGCAGTATTACCTTGTATTCAGAATAAACCACACTTCATTTGAATGTCTTTGGGCTTGGATACTGTAGAAATGTTATACTCTATCAGTTGTTGATATGGCTAAAATGAGGGATGGCTCAGAGTACCACTGGAGTGACTACTTGAAAAGAATAAATATGCACCATCATAAACTCTCTTGCTCTTGCATGGCCCATCAAACTTATCATGACAGGTATTTCCTTTTCTACGGTAACTATCAAGGATGATGTGCATCATCAATGGACAGCAAGATACCTACACATAACAATATACACACCAAATATTTTTCCCAAATCCAAAGACATGGTCAGTGCTCACAGAAGATATCACAAATACCATCATACCTTTCATTGTGAGCACTTGCAATGACCACACATTTGGGTATTTTGGGAAGGTGATTGACAACTCCTGAGGTGAGGAAACTGCTAAATCAAGTGCATGAAAGTTAAAGGGTGAAGACAAAGCTGATGAAATCTTTTGTCCTCTCCAGTTGATGTTCTTTAATTAAAGAAATTATGGTTTTGTATATCTTGAACTCAGTGTATTTTTGTCTACAGAAGTCGATTAAATCTATTATTATTTTACACAAGAAGAATATGCTGTGACCAATTGAAGACCAGTTAAAACTGCGTCCAGCTGAAGACCAGTTGAATTGTTAAAAAACCCAACACCCAATGTGGTTCTAGTTCCAACTGGTCCAACTGGAATTTTTACCTAGGTTACATTTCAGCCCCTGTACAGCTCTGAAGAAAAAAACCAGATATAGCACATGAATTAATTTGGTCAAACCCATATGGGTTCCAAATGAAACCATAATGCAAACCTAAGGGGCCAAATATATCCTTTAAAGGGCACATAAGGTTATTTAGGCCAAATTTGTCGGACCCTTATGGATTTAGGGTTCAAAGCAGCTCTTTCTCGTATGTGCCAATTTGTAGGGCACCCTTATGTTTCAACCCCTATTCAACCCTTAAAATACTCAAATATAGTTTACAATGGGCGCATGAATTAATTTGGGCATACCCATATGGGTTCCAATCGAAACTATAATGCAAACATTAAGGGACACAAATACATCCTTAAAAATGAAATTTGGGCCAACTTCACAAGCAGCTCTTTCCAGTGTAGACCAAACTGCAGGGGGCCCATATTTTGGCCTATAACTTTACTATATGGGGCCCATGTTTGTTTGCTATGTGGGTAAGATTATACTGAGTTCAGATATCACTTTCTGGTAGGCCAGAGCTTCCAAGGGGCGTAAACTGAGAAGAGTACAGCCGGCCTTCCACCACATTGCACCATTTGAACAAGGACAAACTACATCACATATCACCAGTGCCATTTTAAGTTGCTAGACTAGCATCCGTCCTCCATTTGTCATGGTTAAGAAATCTTGAATTGTTCATCAGTACTCTGCCACCCTTGCTGCACCAGCTCACTAGTGACTATTTTGAGAACCAGCGATGAGTGTACAGTAGTACTACTGTAGAAGTGATACAACAGACTCGGATGATGAGTAGCAGCCTATTGTTTAAGAAATAACTTACTTTTTAGTTGATAATTCAGGAAATTAGTATTAGAATTAGAATATATTACAATTGTAACCTTTTAACTTCTGAGATGAACTTGAACATTTGAGTGCGTGAGTTAGCAGCATTCTTGGATTTTAGTTTTATTGTCTGTCAGTCAATTCAGCATGATCTGAGCTTTCATTAAGCCTTTTATAGGGGCACTATGATGATTTTACCAAAAAATGAAGATTTTGAAGAGAAATTGGCGGCCATCTTGGATTTTAAGGCCAAAACTAGGTCAAATCATCGATCCGACATCAAAAATGAAATCCTGGACCCCTGAAATCTCTAAATCCATGCACTAAAGCAGCCATGTAGGCCAAAACACTGAAATAATAAATTTCAAAATGGCGGAAGGCGACCATTTTGGATTTAGGGCTCTCACAGGTTATGCCCACACTTTCGCAAGGGACACCCAAGCTATTTTTGTTATTATACCCTCAAGGAAGACAAATCCACTGAAAAACTAAGTTATAGCCTCTCCACGGTCACGGAATTGCCAGAAATGACTCAACTACGGCAGTTGATTTTTTTTGCCGTAAAAAAACCAAAATACCTGTAGTTTTCATCATGATGATCAAGAACGTACACGATCTAGGCCCCAGGCTAGGCCTAGCCGCCGTCACTCTGCTACGTATACTACCGCATAACAAAGAAAGCGACCCACACGGTGCATTCTTAAATTTTACACACATTATTTCAATGTATAACATGATATCATTGATTAAACGATCTACCACCCTCGCATCGCAGTAACTACTGTACTAAACTAGGCCTCATGTTTTTGTGGAAAGCCTAAGCTAGATATTTGTTATGTACCCAACAGTCGGCTGCCTTCATATCTTCACTTGTCTTCAGTTTGCATTCAAAGGGTACAATGCTGCATAGCCAACTGTCGGGATATATTACCTTCATATGACTACTCATACCACGAAAAAAAAATGTCGCATGGAGGTAGGGTAGCGAAAAATGGAGATCGATTCTTCAAAATGCCTATGCCTGCGGCAGTTGATTTTTTTTTGCCGCAAAACCAAAATAGTTTCATCCATGCCGACTTGCCGATCGGTTAGCGTAATCCCTGACTAACACTGCAGAAACTTCACATCAAACTTTGCATCGCGAGGTAAAACAAAATGTCGGAAAACTTTTCTTTGACGCATGTGCATTTGCATAAATGTCTACACACACACACACGCACACTACACACAGGAAATACAGTGAAGAGTGATCACAATAGTTCCTATTTAGGAACTAATAAAATTAACAGAATAGGAATTCAGACAAGGGCTTTAACAAATGATACATTTTATGTTCCACACCCGCATTTGCAATATTTAAAAAATAGTTCCTATTTCAAAGGTACTTCTTTTTTAAAATTTTATGTCAACGGTCTTTTGTGATGTCTCTGTTAGCAGTTTTAAATCTTGTCTTAAAGATTATTTAAGACACCAATATCGCGATTAAGTAATGTTATGTCTTTTTTAGAGAAAATTTATATTTTATAGTATTTTTTTATTTCTCTGTCCTTTTTATATATTTGTATTTACTATTAAGGGTCTCTTTGAGTCAGCTTCGCTGTAAGAGCCCCCTCATGAAATATTGTTGAATAATAAATAAATATAAATAAGGTCTGGCAGTCAATGTGTATAAAGAAGAACTGTAGGTGGGTGAAACAAAGCAACTAGTTCTAGATAGCAATTATTACAAGAACATATCAGTCAGCATCACAACTCATTTCATATATATTTAAACCTAAATAATAATTCAAAAGCTTACCATTGACATTTATGTTGGCTTGCTGTGTTGCTGATCCAATGTTATTAGTAACTTCTACTGTTACTGTATACTCTGTGCTGTCTTCAGCTGATTCTGATGCCATTATTGTGATTGTTGAAGAGAAAGGGTCTGTGTCTGTAACATCATCATTGGAGATTATGATATCATTATTCTCAGGATCAATGGTCCATTTATAAGTGATGTCATTAGGATTAGCAGAAACTCTTGCTGTAATAGTTTTACTCCCACCAGGAGCAATAGTGACTTCTTTATCTAAGGTCACTTCAGGTTTAACTAGGAAAAAAAATTAAAAGAATTTATTTAAATTTCTTTCAGATAAAACCTTAAATTAAACCTGTGGATGTTGTTAACAGGATTTTGGTGGACTTGTTGTGTAGACAAAACTAATTTTGTTTTTAAATGAGTTGCAGTGTTTAGCCTCATAAAACAAAGAAACATCATAAAAGAATCAACAGTTTCAGTCAATTGTCCAGTAAAATAGTGCCTTTTAGAATGCGAATGTGTACAGTATGACAGTCTATGGATATCAGTAATTTTTGCTAATTTCTTGGCTAATTCAAAAGAATATAATTTATCATGAAACCACGGTGACATGGTGTTTTTCATCAAGGCCGTGCAGGACCATAAGTGGTAAAATATGAAAATACAAGATATGAAATACTGAACCATAAACAAAAATTACTAAATGACAAATTGAATAGTACTTATCTAAGTCAAAATCAATCAAAACATATGTATAGTAATTAATTTCAATAGTTAGTTAATTACAATATCAAAAGTTAGGTTAAAATGTGTTCTTTAAATTTGGAAATGTTTGTTAAATTTCTCTACAGTAGTCTATACAGTAGTCAATTATCTGATACAGTAGTCAATAGTTATGTTTTACATAATAATATATTGCAATACTTACAGTAATTGAGTACTATTGTTCTACTATGTTTGGAGCCAACACTGTCAGATGCTGTACATTTGTAGCTTCCTCTATCACTCTGTGTTACATTATCTATCTCATAAGTCAGAACTGCATTATTTTCTGTCTTGATAACATCATCATCCTTAATGAGAATAATTATGGGAGGTGGACTGCCATTTGCAGAACATGTGATTGTAACATTTTCAGCAGAAGTATTAGAATTGATGTTAATCACGACATCATCTAAATCTGGAAGAAAAAAGAAACATTTAATTAGAGATTGATAAAAACTAAATTAAAACAAAATCTATAGCCTCCCAATAGTAAAAAAAAAAACATATATCCTGAACTGAGAAAGGTAAAAATGCACCAGCTTATCAAGTTACAAAGTAGCCACAAACTAAATTCTTCTTTTAATTGGTTTCTTTTTGTACCATAAAATCAATATGATTGATCATAAATCAAAAGCCTGGGTATAAACATAATTTGGTGACTTTTCACACGAAAAAAATACTTGAAAGGCAAATGAATCTTTCACCAGTTATTTTTGGATATTTTTTACATCCATATCCACACCATTTGTATACAATGCCAAATTTGCCTATGTGTTTTTGGCAGATTTTATGTTCAATTCTACAACCCCATTTAACATTTCAACAGCATTTAACATTTATTTTAATTCGTTCTATAAACAAATTATTTACTACTATTTTAATTATCTAAATGATATTTTTTTAAACTTTTGGTTAGTTTTAAAAACTCTTATATTTGTATTTTGATTAATTTCTTATGTAAATTTGCACTGGCAATGTACTATAATCTCAGTCAAACCGCTGTTTGTTGAATAATATTTGTGTTTCAAAATACACAAAATATTTGTTTTGGTCTTTTAATAAAGTTTTAGAAACTTTACAGTGTTGTGTCAATCATTCATTTCACATTCTCGGCTTTTTTTTTGGTTTACCATTGAGCGGATCACCAATTATATTTCTTTTCTCAAAACGTTGATGACGTCATATCATCTTAACCATTAGTCATTTCTGAATAATATTAAATGGGCTTATACTTCAGATCAAGTTTGAATGTTAGGTATCATACTTTTTTGTTTGCACGTCTTAACGTGCGCGTACGTGTGCGTCAAATATTACATATGCTTATAATTATGCCTATTTATAATCAAATATAGCTCTTTAGGATGAAAGGTGACCCCCAATTTTTATTACATATTCTGAAAGCACATAAGTTGTAAATATGATTTTATAGATCATAATGGCTGATCGGACATTGTGACGTCATCATATTGGCATCTGAATTCAAAGAAAGTGTATTTTAGCTATGACGTCATTTTTGAAAATACGCATTTGAGCGTATCTCGCTTATCCTTGATCGATCGTCATGGCGTCATGGCGTGCGCATACGCATAAGTAAATCTTTTAAAATGCTTCAAATTCTTTTAAAAAAATGAATTAGCGTATACTTTGGGCCATTTTCAGCATTTAAAAATTGTTCAATCTGCATCGCGCACACTTCCTCGAGGGTCAAATTGCGGCGGATCACCTAAATCGTCCTCAGTGACGAGTTCAAATCTAGTTTTAAATAGTTTTGCATTATGTGGCCGTTTGCTGTTTTATGGGTTTTTCCCATTTGCCTTTTAAAATTTATATATTATTAAAGAATCTCTATTGAGATCCAGCATGCTGCCATTGATGCACGGTAGAGATTGCATCTTTAGATCTCCGATCTTGTTCACAAATTTATGGACTAGTGCTGTCTCGTTAGAATTTCGTAGGATGCGTTAAGAATGACAAAATATTCTCTGCATTTACTGGAATCGAGCCACATACAGTAGCTTGTCTTCCACTATTTGCATTCACACCTGGGCTGTGTATATATATTGCCTTGGTTTGGCTCTGTAATCATTAGTGGTCGTTGGGATGCTGTCTCTTATACACATCTAGATGTGTATAAGAGACAGTGTTTAGGCTGTTTATTCTAATCCCATCTAGCCTAGCCTATTGTTTCTAATCATGCTTGCATGAAATTCTCACTTTATACTATCTGGCTTTTTCAACCCTCACTCACTCGCCACTGAGGAAGGACTAGTGTTGTCTGAAAGCTCTGGTCCTATTTCTGGCTGTTTACTTACGTTTACTTTTTAGCTGTTGCTTATCATTTTTGTACAAGTGCAAGTCATGAATAAAATTGCAACTCTAAGTAGCCTAGGCCTTTCTCCTTGGGTAAGGTAGGTCCTCTCTTTCTCACTCTAGTCTAGCACAGTCTAGGTCTATTCTTGGATCATGATGATCATCGTGATGTGAATTTATTTGCTTCTACATTTTGTGTAGTACTGTCATTGTTGTATTTAGCACAATATTATTGATGCTAAATTGTTTAAGTGTATAGATACCATAACAATTAAACCACAAACCGTAGCTGTACTACTTGGACAGATCATACCAAAAACACCCCATACACAATTACTAATCTGCTTGCGCATAGGTTTTCCCAGCAAGAATGACATCACAACGCAGATTTGTTTACCTCATAAATTTCTGGCAGGTTTGCAGTAAGGCCATCCAAATTAATGAATAATTGAAGCCGACATTTTTCAGATTTCAAATTTGGCACGTTTTTATTAGGTAATGTTGATCCTAAAACGTCATATTCCAGCTATATTTCACAAGTCCTTTAAACTATTACACACATCACCTAAAGGTATTTCACGTATTAGATGACGTATTTAATCACTAACGATACTAGGATATGCCCTTTCTACCACCATCACATCGATCGGCCCTCATGTTTTAGTAGAAAAACCTAAACTAGTTGGTACATTCATATTCGTCTACAGTATGGCATACAGCCACTGCCCTTCATCTACCGCGTCAAAATAACAATTACAAATAAAAAATAACTTGCAAGGCACGCAATGACGTTTGCAGCAAGGCTACTCATACAAAAACATACAAATAATCGTTGCATGGAGTTTGGGAAAAATGGAGCTCAAATGAAAAAAACGATGTACTTTAGCAAGTATTTAAAACTTTTTTGATTTTAGGCCTTTGCCAAAATGGTTGAAGCTGTTGAACTTTTTTTCACCAATCCAAAATAGTTTTTGCCCCTGGCGTCTTGGCAAACAGTTAGCGTGATACCAGATGATAAGGTCAAAAAAGAATAGAAGCTAGCATGAAATGCATTAGTATCATATTCAAAGTCCCCTGATGACATCTTTCAGAGAAGGTACTCTTAATAAAATTGACAGTAGGATAGACTTACTCTACTGGATTCACAACAAGGAAGAAAATTTCATAATTGTACTATGTATGTAATTTTACAACAATAAAGATATCTCTATCTGTACGTCAAGTCTGATGCTCTCATAAAGAGAGATGATCTTTTCCTAATTAGAGAGATGATTTAAACCCTGACACCTTGTATTTCTTTTGATAATCTCAGCGTTTAAATATTGTTGTTCAAGTGGTGTATTCACTGAACAAGGAAAATAATTAAAAATGAAAATGTGAGACTTTTAATCTAAAAAGTTTTTGTTTTACTAAAATATTTACATTTAATTAAATGAGCAATCAATGTTGACTTACATACAACACTCAAAATGAAGTCATCAGATGCAGGTGAAGGGGGATCGTCAAATATAGATACACTACACTGATACGTGCCGTTGTCACTTCGGCTGGTGTTAGCAATTACTAGTGTTGTGTCTCCATCAACACTGAATCTGTCGATGTATGAAGAACGTACCAATCCAACTCCACCTTGAGATTGTGCTATTGTATCACTAACTCCATTGGTGACATTATACCAGGTTACGGTAGGAATACCTACACTACTTGAACTACTTCGCGTCATGTTGCACATTATTCTGGTTTCATTGCCTTCAGCTACACTTACAATGTCATCAACAATTACAATCACAGCAGAGCATTTGCTGAAAAAAACTAATAAACAGTAATATTCGTAATAATAAGTTGCATTTAATCATAAAAGTAATAATTAATATATAAAAATTCACTTTATTCTCGAATTGGAACTCAAAGTTTTGGCCAAAGCAACATGCGAAGTAATAAAAAAGGAATATCAAAAAGGTTATCACTAATGCTACATTTTCATTTTCTTTATAAACCCCAAACTTCGCAGTCCTAAATTTCTGACCATTGACCCCAGGTACCTTTAACATATTGTAGATGCCTTTTTTTTCGTTTACCCTTATACTTAGCGCTAACCTGATGATGTGATGATTTCCTATTAAAAAACTTCATATTTCCAAGTCAAAAAATGTATTTTCTCATGCATTTTATAGCTGTAGTATCGGTTGGATCGCGACCTATCCCAAAAACTTGGATTAAAAATAATGAAGTTTATTAGAGAGTTTACCAGACATATCCATTTAAACGTCCATTTTACGTACCCCTTGGTACCATGGGGTAAATGCATTCGTAAATTGAAATATTTGTAAACTATATCGAGTGTTAGTTCCACTACCTAGGCTTAGCTTTCCTCTGCCATTGCACATCGATATGCTGATGACAGAGGCCAGGCCTAGAACAAACCGACAGTGCACAGCGTGGACAAGTTACTGATCGCGTGTGTATGCAACTTTTGGTGAGCTCCTTCTTAATCTTATTAATACATGATTACTGTTTTAAGATACTCTACCAACTGGGCTTTGAAAACAAGTGGTACACAAGTTCAAATCCTGATGGAAAGATACATTTTTCTTAAAAAATCATTATCATTACCATCTTTACCTCTATTTATCACCAACTGAGGTGTTCACCATACAAAAGTTACTATCATGTACTTAAAGGGGAAGTGCGGGGATGAGACAAGTGGCCATATATTGCTTATTTAACCTTTCCTGAGTTCGGGAAAAATACTTAAAAAATTCAAAACGTTGAGATGTAACGATAATTAGAGAAATAAAACATGAAAATCAGGTGAAAACGAGGCTGATCACTTTTTTCAGTAGCTTGGTAGCATTTTCTAACCAACTCATTAATATTCAAGACCAGTCTGTCAATTTTGGCGAGCAGCTGATCGAAAAATCGTCCCGACGATCGAGCAACTACTAGCCTAGACAATACATAACTGTAGTGTGAAGTTTTTGTGATCGTTTACGTACGCAGTTACAGAGAGACGGTTTAGTCAACGTCAATTCAATCATGGAGGAATAATTCAATTGAATTAATAAACGTATATCAGTCCGATGACTTGTTTTTTATAATTAGGCCTATGCCTAGGATTAGCACAGTCAGTGTCTATCCAGCAGCAGTAGCGCACTCCTGACCAGGACACTGCTCCAGTCCCGCAGCAGGTGAGTTCGCACGCAGCCTTATCCATCTGACGGTAAAGTTAGTAGGTTTCTACTACTAGCCTAGAATTGTCATGCCATGGCGACTTTGTCACATTAATTTTTTTTTTTTCATAATAGGCCTAGGCCCTTAGTAGGCATACTAATAATACTATAAGGCCTAGTTATAGGCCTGGTCCTATAAAAAACTGCCTAAATGTCTACAAACTGCACTGTCTTAAAATAAAGGTGATGTGCTATAACACTACAGTATATCATCAGAGCCAACACCAATTCCTGTAACAATAAGATTATTATTGATATACTGTAGGCCTAGAAGCTAGGCTACACAACAATAATGCCCCATTAAATAATAACATGGTGCATATGTTACTTCAAACCTAACTTTCAGCTGTTGTTGAAATGTGGAAATTCAAATAAAATATATAACAGTATATATATTTTTTTGTAGGACAAGATATGTGATATGCCGAAACATAACACTCTGGCCACATAGGTATTTGCCAGTTGCAATGATGAGACAAACATACCACAACATTTGCCATGAGTACAACCTGTCTCTTATACACATCTAGATGTGTATAAGAGACAGCCTTTATGTTTTCTTTTAATATCTTATCTTAGTTACTAGATACTGCAAGCGAAGCATCACCCTCATCTTCCCAAAGTCTGAATACTCATTACTTGTTTTTTGAAGACTCGCCTTCTTCCCAAGACTCGCTTTCACAAGACTCGCTTTCACAAGACTCATTAATAATAATAATAATAATAATTTTGGCTTATATAGCGCATTATGCTAAAGCCTCAATGCGCTTAACAGTAAAAATAAAATTCGGGGGAAAAAAAATTAAGAAAAATACAAGTTAAAAAGGTGAGTTTTTAAAGCTGCCTTAAAA